TTTCAGAAACTTTGCCAGATTTACAATGTCTGCCATATCATCAGAAGTAGTGTCTCTCGCTCCAGGGTAAGTGAGGTTTTTAGAAACATAGGCGTCAGATGAACATGTGTCAGATGGACGTGTGTCAGATGGACGTGTGTCAGATGGACGTGTGTCAGATGGACGTGTCAGATGAACATGTGTCAGATGGACGTTTTTCAAATGGACGTGCGTCAGATGGACGTGTGTCAGATGGACGTGCGTTAGATGGACGTGTGTCAGAGAGTGCGTTTCATAGAGTGTGGATAAATGAGTTGAATGCTGAATTAAGAATCGACATCAAAGCCCTTGGGGCACACCCATAAGCGTTCCGTCCCCATCTTCAGCAGTAAGCGAAGAGTTCCGATTCCAATGGTACCAGTTACTCTTTGATTGTATATTCGTCTCGCTTTTCTCATGACTTTCTAGCATCAGCCAGATCCTCTGGTAACTCCCCACAGACCGTAATGATCTGTCTGTGCCTCCGCACTGTTTACTCGTTTCCAAAGGGCCCTAACAACATTTAGCTTGTCATACATCATTTCACCAGCAAGTGGTATGGAACCGGCCAGTTTATCCGTCTGCTCCTTTTCCAACACATCGGCAAAACTTTGAGAAAATTTCCAAAGGAAGTGATGCTTGCCACTATGCACTTGCTGTCCTGTGTAGTTAGCACAAATAAGCGCAATGAAGGAGAGTGGATGTAATAAGGAGTATTTGATTCAAAGTGAAATATAATGAAAGAAGGCATTTAAGTTCTTCTTTGTACACATTGAGAAGTCAACATGAATATGTTTAAAGAAAGTACTTTGTGCTTGTTGACATTCCAAAAGAATTTGTCCTCAAAATGTACTGATAAAAGCCAAAATACTGTTTTATGAAATATATATGCCACACACTCTGACGACAAATGTGTAACTGTTATTTTACCAGTAAATTGGTTGTAATTATAAGTGTCATAATAAGACTAATGCAAAGATTTTCCTGTTGAAAGAACCATCTATATGGGCATTCTATTGCAGAGCGCCCCGGTCCCAATCAAATGTCACAAACTAGCACATATTGAAAAAACGGGTACTAGAACCTCACGTCTGCTTCTTCTTTTTCTTCCTCTTTATCACATTCGCCAGCTGTAAACTCTGGCGGAAAATTCGGGTTGAGTGTCCCCTTTAGTCTTTTTCCAGAACATGAGTTTTGCGTGCATATCCGTTTCACTGACAAGATTATTTGTATGCAGAGTTTTTGTTCCTTGCTTTTCAGGCAGATACACTCCGACTTCGAAGGAAACCTCTATTTGGTCTACTCTAACGTGATGCTTGTAGCAAAGGCGGTTGGTCTACCCCCCCCCCCCCAAACCCCTCACAATGGAGCCCGGAACCCACAGGGCGATTACATATGTCGTTAAGCATATTAGGAATTTGGGCATTTGAGTTGCAGATTTTATCTTAGTACCCAGATTAGAGGCGAAGGAAGGAAGGATATTGGTTGGCAGGCGTGCAGATATGCAGGAAGGTTAGTATGTCGCCAGGTAGGCAGAAAGATAACTAAGTAGGTAGGTTGGTGTGTATGTAGGTGGGTTGCGTAGGCACGTGGGTAACTCGGATGAATAGTTGGTTGGCTGGCTGGTTGATTTGTTGGCAAGCTGATAGGTAGGCAGGTAAGTAAACCAAGAAAGTAACAAGGTTTGCAGTACTTTATCCCGATATGTCTTGATACATCTGCATATTATATTGATATGTTTTAAAATTCTTCACCAGAGACCTGGAGATTTTGAGGGATTCCTGGAAACACATGAAAGCCCAAGGTCATCAGCAGCTTGCAAACAAACTGCTTAACTGGTATGTATCATGGATTCGGTGTATGTATTTTAGGAGCTACGAGCGCGGTTTGTAATTGCAAAATACCCAGTTTAATTGGTGCTTGTAACGTTTTCCGCAACATAGGAAAGGCCCTGCGACACTACAGAGCATGAATGGCAAGGACAGTCACTCTCTTTTTGGCTGGACAACGTTGTTAAAGGTTTTAATTTTTTTCCCAAGTTTAAAAAAGAAAACGACGGGGTTGGTTTGCCACATCTGCACAATATATGTGACTAATCGTCGAGTGCAGAAGAAACCTGAAATGAAACATGCGTATTGTCACAGACAACGAATGGCTTTTGCAAGAATTCCCTATGAGTGGTGTTGTAAATTGTCATGCTAAGTGTTGTGTGCTATCTAATGTCCACAATATTCAGCACACGACCAAGTGTCTACAGGTACAGATTTACACTTGACACACTGAGTTAAGACACGACGCTGTTAGCTCCGCCATACATAAAGTTTATTGGTACAACACAAGAGGGTGTTTACAAGCCCTTACATTTACAATACTTATTGCTCAGAGACGTAGACATTGATTCAAATTGGCATTCGAACATAGTCCCTCTCTCTCTCTCTCCCCCCCCCTCTCTCTCTCTCTCTCTCTCTCTCTCTCTCTCTCTCTCTCTCTCTCTCTCTCTCTCTCTCTCTCTCTCTCTCCCCTAACTTGTAGCGACCTCTCCCTGACCACTACAGCTCGTAAAGTCTACAGCGTCCCGCAACTCTGGGCTCTCTGTTTAGAACAGGAACAACTCTCCTATCAACTGGACCTTGGTTCTACTTCAGCAAGACACCTCGGCTGACCGGAAACGGACTTTACTCGCTCGTTCTCCAGCACATCAGCTTGTTGAAGGACTCTTTTGGCCGACAGGACTTCTAGCACAAGTCCCATCTAGCACACAGCTCTCGTCGGCATCCCCCACTGCTCTGTTTCCATGATGATCCTACGCCTCCCTCGCGTCGTCACCCAGAACTGTTACTATTGGAACGTCCAGTCCCCTTGGCCTTACTTCGCCAGCTGGACTCTACCTTCGACCCGTACCGTGACCGAGACTCTCATTCAGACTTCGCTGTCTGACGGGTACATAGTACTCTGTCTGTCTGACTCTCACTCGAGTACTCACGATCTGACTCGAGAGATACTGACTGACTCCCTGACTGACAACACAGTACCAATATATCATTGCCGGACCCATGTAGGCGGCGGATGTTACACGAGAGGCACGCTCGTGTGGGCGTTTTCAGCAAAACGAGAATCACGCTCGTGTGGGCGTTCTCAGCTTAACGAGAATCACGCTCATATGGGCGTTCTCGGACTACACGAGAATCCATTATGTGGGTCGCTCAGGCTTACATGAGAATCATGCTGGCACGTAGTTCATACTTCTTCCGTGCATCACGTTAGCCATGCCTGTCAACCCCCCCCCCCCCCCCCCCCTTTGCAGTGAGCCCACGCATCTACTTTCCCTGGCGTTCATTACCCTTCTGAGCCAAAACATTTCTCACTGTTCCCAACGTTGACTCCCCCTCAACACTTAGACCAATTTTTGAAACTGTTCATTGGTCATTTCCTTGAACTCCAGGAAACAATTATCATACAACTTTGTCCCTTCCCACAATATTACAACTCTCCTAAATCCGAAGGCAACACCAAATCGTCCATATATGGAATGCATTTTTTAATTTTTATCTTTTTTATTTGAAGCCAGGGGGTCCTGAATATAGCCGGGGCATAGATCTAGCCTAATGGTTGAAAGGGGTTTCTGGTACCTCTTCACTGGTGCTCCTCATCCACATGGTGGCACTTTGTGTCCCCGGGTGTTTATAGCTTGTGTGGTGTTATGGTAGGGTACAACTACCTACCTACCTACCTACCTGTGAGCAATGTATGTATGCTAGGCTTAGCAAGCCAAGTGCAGGCTCTGAGATTATACGATGACCCATCTTTCAATGACAAGAGGAAATGTTCTCCAAAGTAAAGGTGTCTAAGGCGAAGTTTCCCTACTATTGAGTGTTAACTGGTCTATGAAAGTGTAGATGTAGCAAAATATGCTTGAAGTGCCTTTAGCGCGAAAGGGGTTCTTTACATTTGAGCAATAAATGACAAAATCTATCTCTTATGTTTCTATTATTCTATATCCTTGTGTTTATATTTTTCTACACAATTCTATCCACTTTGTTTTCAAAATGTATCCCTCTAATTCATTGCATACCATCCCAAAGTGGGACGCAATTTTTCGTTATTTTAAAGCGCCACTCTGGCTGTTGCCGGGGGTCCTAATATAACCCCTCCGGGTTAAACGGGGTTTCTGGGACCTGTCCCCGGGTGATTCTCATCTGAAATGTGACACGATGTGTCACCATGTGTTTTTCACTCGTTGTGCGGTCCTGGTGGGGTTGAACGGTACTTAGTGTAACCAGGATATTCCCGAACATTGTTGATTCTCTTCCTCTGGCAGTGGGTCTATTCTTGTTTTCTTCCACAATGGGGATCTTTTAAGGATCTTCAGTGTGCCATTTTTAATATGCTATGAAAGTTGGTATTCATTGCTCTTAAGTTGTTCTTCCCGCTGTGGTTCCATCGCATACATGGCCCTCCATTGCTCTGTGTTTAGTATCTTTCTTCAGCTTGGTTGTCAGTATTAGCTGGTGCAGTGGATTGTTGTCAGAAACCAAACCATTTCACTTGCTGCTTTTTAATCTCTCTTCTTCTTAGTATTCACCGGCTGTCGAGTGTGTTATAAGCTTCCAGTTTTTCGTCGGTCCACTTCTTTATTTTGGCACTGGTCCAGAGCTTTGGTTATTTGTTTGCAGACTGTTGGTTCCTTGCCTCTCAGGCAGATACATTCCAACGTCGAAAAAAAATCCCTTATTAATAAGGGACATGCTTGTACGACATGCTTGTTATGGGTCAGTGGGTTTATACGCCAACCTCACCCTCCTAGCTGCCCCTTTCCCCCAAGGACAACAAAAATTAGGGATCCACATGAGGACTCTTTTATTTAAGAATTAATATTTGGTTTTAGTGATAATCTTTTTCTCATTTCTATTCTTTTAATTACACACACACACACAAACTGCGTGTTTAAAGTAACAGGATCTAAATTATTTTATTACATTTAGGATGTTCGAAAACGTCAGCGGTATGTTGCAGCAGTTTTCCAAATTCAAAGGCAAAGGTCAAGGTCACCTGGAAGTGATGCCAGAGTTCAACGCGCATGCTCAGGCCATTGTCATGACCATAGAATATTTGATCTTCATTGATCAACCGGGACGTTTTAATAGAAAAGTTACCGACCTTGTCAGGTCACATATAAACAGAAGCAACAGCCCCGCTGGATCACAGCTATTTCAGGTAAAGTGTGGCAGGTTTAATTTACTTTCTCTTATTTAAATTTTTGGGGGAGCCCCGATAGTGTGGTGTTGAATGGCAAACAAAATATAATGACGTCCTTAGGTACTTCTCACGAACTTGTCGGCACGGCGAGAGTTCCTTTCCCTCCCATTCGAGTCGCACGGCCTGTCCTATTGTGTGGGGATGTTATGAGATGGCTTCGATCGGCGTTCGTATATAATGTTTGTGGGAGGTTGTGTTGTCGAAGTACTGCAGGGGGAAGCGCCGAAGGCGTCACTGTTCGTGAGTATCGAAACTTGGATAAGTTTGTAAACCTACGTTCCTTGGTGGGGCCCCCCACTCCACCACACACACAAAAAAGGAGCCACTGACAAGGTACGTAGAAATACAAATATCTCGCAGTTTTGATATTCACGAACCGTAGGACAAGTAGCACAACGTACAAATAATCACGCTAGTGAGGCTTGATAACACGAGAAAAAGACAACGGTCAAACCGTTAAAGTAATCAGAAATACATGACGCCCCCTACAACATAGGACAGGTCGTGCGACCCGCCACGCAGCATGAATGGGAGGGAAAGAAACTCTCGCCATGCGGGCAGGTTCATGATAAGTACCAGTCTTGTGGGGGGGGGGTGTATAAGCAAATATTTTTAAAGAGAATTTCTATACAAGGTTAAAAAGGGGCTTCTTGGTTCCCTTACAAATAGGGTGATCATACGTCCCATTTTCACTGGGACAGTCCTGTTTCGTGGGAGTGTACCGGCCGTCTCGTCAGTAGGCCGAAACTCTGCAAATTCCTCTTTTAGAAAAATCTAGGAATTAGTTCGTGAATAGAACATACACTTATAGTTTATATCTGTAGATGTAATTAGATTTCCCAGATTTTAGTTACTTTTAATGCCTGAAATGTATTAAGGGGCATTTTCATTTAATTTCATTGCCGTTTATTTCTTGGTGACAATGGATCGGGTTTTAATACCATTAGTGAGGGCCCTGATGACCTAGACAAAATAAAGGGTCAAATTGGGAAAAGGGGGGGGGGGGGGGTTCCAACTGACTTCCTTAGGATTTCCCGTTTTCATCTGATAAAGCTAATATGACGTCCCTATATTTAAACTACCGGGGAAAGTTGGGAGGGAGCATGACAAGAAAATGTGTTAGAGAGGAACATACCCCTTACCCCATCTCTATTTTTGCCTAGAAAATCTGTTTGAGGTGTGTGTGCGATTATATAAACCAGTGAGTTAAATACAAAACCAGTACACACTAAGTGAATTAACTCTCATTTGGGAATCCGAGACACTCAGGAGAGGACACACAAAGACACTGTTACAGCTTCATCAGAAACTGAAGCTGGGAGAAAACGTAATTATAACCCTGTACAAGGCCAGAGAAAAACACTGTGGGATGAGGGATTCAGCCACTTTCATACACATCTAACAATTATTGTCCTTATCTACATTTTTTCATAAAAGATTATAGCAATTACCTTATTCTAAATAAAACATACAACAAAGTAATTATTGTCCTTATCTACATTGTTTTATATAACGCATGTAGCATGTTCAAAGGTTATTCTATCTATCTATACTATATTACATAACCACGAGTAACACATTTTGTCCTTTTCTACATTATGTTATGTAACATATATAACAATTATTAATCTTATCAACATTTGTTTATGTAAAACAGATAACAATCATTGTCCTGATCTACATTTTTTATTTAGAACAGATAATAATTATTGTCCTTATCTACACTATTTTATGTAAAACAGATAACAATTATTGTCCTTATCTACACTATTTTATGTAAAACAGATAATAATTATTGTCCTTATCTACACTATTTTATGTAAAACAGATAACAATTATTGTCCTTATCTACACTATTTTATGTAAAACAGATAACAATTATTGTTCTTACCCATTATTGGGGGGGGGGGGGAAGAGAGAATGGGGCATATACAGTTATTATTGTCCTTGTCTACATTATTGTACAACAAAGAGAGTCTACCATAGAGCCAGATTTTATTTCAAAAATCACCTTGATTCCCAGGTCAACCCAGATTTAAACGGGTACCAGATAACGTCCTGGGAAGTAAAGGCGGCCAGTGTGATGTCGACCACATCACCAACTGAGTGCCGATTGGTCTATAAAATATAGGTCTAGCCCTATATGCCAAAAAAGCCCGATACTCTAGAAATGGATCCTTTACTGTTTTTTTTATAACCAAAACTGATATATTGATTTAAGGATCAACATCATAGCACACCATGCATACCCACAGATGCTACATTTCCTGCAGCAAATGTCTTCAGGTTTAGATGCTAACTGTTCCGGCAACGAGTTGACTAAACACATGCATCATTCGCTTCCTATCATACATCCCTTTTTGCCTGATCCACACCTGATTACTCTACTTTAAATATAACAATTAGTGCCTTATGTAAATTCTTGTATATAACACATACACCATTATCTATATTTAAAGATTATATATATATATATATATATATATATATATATATATATATATATATATATATATATATATATATATCAATTAGTGCCTTGTCTACATTATTGTATCAAATAAATACACAATTATATATATATATATATCAATTAGTGATGAAAAATACTGACATCTTAAAAGATCTGAATGTCAAGGAAGACTGGCTAATAAACAGCATCCTTTCTCGAAAGCTGAAATATTTTGGTCATATCAAGCGCCACGACGGATTGGAAAAAACTATAGCAGAAGGCATGGTACCAGGAAGGAGGGGCAGAGGCCGACCGACACGAAGATGGGCACAGGATATAAGTGACTCCTTGAGTGTGAAAGTTCATGAGGCGGGAGAGCTGGCAAGAGACCAAGTTTCTTACAGGCAGACTGTGATAAGAGCGACGTTCTGCAAAGGACCAGCTACATGATGATGATGATCAATTAGTGTCATTATCTACATTATTTTATGTAGTACATACAACAGTTATTGACTTGGTCCACAGCAACTGAGAGACAAGATACACATTTTTGTTGAACAAGAGCGAGCTGTGGCTCCTTCCAGTGTAGAATCACAAGTGTGGATCAAGTTCTTTACCGTCATTGTGAACATCTGCAAGAGGGAAGAGAGGAACCAGTCCTGCAGCCGTGTTTTATGTGCAGTTTGCTGTTGTACAAAAAGATGACTTCACTCATATCGCTTGCCTTTCAGTAAAAACTCATAACACATTTCACTACATGACTTACTACAGCGGTTCTCAAACTGCAGGTCGCGACCCTATTTTTTGGTCGAACGACCCTATCACGTGAGTCGCCTAAGACCATCGGAAAACACATATTCATTAAAGTTATGAAGGACAATCATTGTTTGTGGGTCGCCACAACATGGGAAAACTGTATTAAATGGTCGCGACATTCGGAAGTTTGAGAGCCACTATACTAGAAAAAGACATTCAGACAGATCTTCTTGCTCTTCTTTGTTTACCGACTGTAAGCTCCAGCGGAAAGTTTTAGTCGTTTGTCCATTCGGACTTTGTGCCAGGGCCTGAATTTTGTGTGTACATCCATTTTACTGGCTTATTTGTGAACAACTGATTGTTCCCTGCCGCTCGGGCAGATGCACTCCAATCTTAAAGGAAGCTCCCAATTAGTCGACTCTTACGACATGTTTGCCTGGGAGGTAGGGAGTCTATTCTTTCTTTCCCCGCAATAGGGCCCTGGAACCCACACGGGTAATACAGATAATATAGCTAGAATTCTTTGCTCCATTCTGTATTCGACGTCAGCTATGCTAAACATTCATTCCATCTGGGCCGCAAAACAGGACAGTGCATCTAAGGTCGCCCCTGGTTCCCCCCACTGCCTGTCTTGCAATCTCTGCCAAGAGTAGTTAGGAGAATCCTGCTGTGCATGCCAACACTGCCTGTATTTGCCTTTGCCACTGTTGGGGTATAGGAAAGAGGCAGTAAGGAAAGGATCTTTGCGAGTGAAGATTTAGGGCCGCATTGCTAGTGCTGTCGCTATAGACTGTGGAGGTGAGGACTGTTTTATTGTGGGTTTTTTTTTTTTTAAAGAAAGAAATTCATCACCTTTCTTAGAATTGGAGCCTGGGTGTCCCACCTGAGAGCCCAGCGTTCTTAACCGTTCGGCCAGCCGCTCCACCTGTTACATATGCAGGAGTAAACACTTTCTTAACAACTTTTTTTTTTTTAAATCAAATGTATAGCTGTTTATTTTCTCGTCAGTTTAGGCTTCGCAAATGTTGAAATAAACAACATCTGAAGCAAGACCTACTTGGTGGATATAATTTAGCTGTCACAGATTTTCAGAAGAGTTAAAGCATAAATAATGGTGTGCCTTCAGTTGGAAATGTGCGGACAGTGAAATATTTGTGTGCGACAGCCTGATGGCCGTTATCTTCTTGTGCCAATACTTGCTTTCTCCCACTAGACCACACAGTTTAACGCATGATAGGTAGACGAGCCAGGGTGCGCTAGATTGTTTGTTAGGGTGTGATGTTCTAAAGCCTTAGGTTGTTAGTGACTACTACAATCCATTTTCTTCCAGATCTTTTTTCCATTTGTATATTGTATGCTCTTGCTGCTGGCTTCATTTGATTCATTCTCGAGGGAGTCCTATGTCAGTATTTCTTTATAAATGAATTTAACGACAGATATTGTTCTGATAGTTCCAATTTGTAAATTTCTCCTACAATTTCTTCTGGTTTTGTTCGCAGCCTTTCTCAGTAAATCTTTTTTCTCGGGTTGTTAGATTTCTCTCTTGTCCTTTGGGTAATGTTCAACTCTGACACCCCTAACCTTGTGTTTAAATAAAGGTTGTCAACTCCTACTGAGAGAGAGATCGAGAGAGAGAGACAGACAGACAGACAGACAGACAGACAGACAGACAGACAGACAGACAGACAGACAGACAGACAGACAGACAGACAGACAGACAGACAAAAAGACAGTTGGGGAGATGTCATGATCATGGCTGATGATGTATATCAGTAGCTCTTAACCTTTATAATGCCGTGCGCCCTTAATAAGGTTCCCTCGTTTTGTGAAGGCCCCTGTGAAAGGGTCGTTCGATCAACAACAAAAAAAGGTCGCGACCGGCAGGTTGAGAACCACTGATATATATAATGCGTTTCAAAGTAAGCGTGAAACTGTGGTTAATGGTGGTACTGAATCTAGAGATGAATATAATAGGGTTAAATATGACATAATACTGTTCACACTTATGGATATGGAAGTTAGTCCCTGGATTGCAGGGTCCTACATAAACACCAGACCTATTTTTGCCTAGTTTGTGGAGCTCTGAACCCTGTAGAATAGCACTTTCTCCCTCACCCTCATTTTTATCCTGTTCAGTGTAACGTGTAAACAAGCAGGATAACGGTAACAGAGGCAGTTGATACTGTGAGGATTTTGACTTTTGTAGGCAAGAAATAGAAACATCTAGAGAACTGCGGACTGCTGTAAACTATGTAAATGAGTGGCGTAAACATTACGGAAATCTCCCCAAACTAAGTTAAGATATAACACTCGGGCGACCTTCCGGACCTGAAAAATCGTCGGTGAGCTTGCAAGTGTGTCGTGGGGTATACCTTTGTATATAAGCAAGCTTCACAATATACCAACAAAACGTGAACGTTGCGGCTATTGAGCCTTCATCAGCACATACAAATTAAACAATACTACACAGATACACAAAATCACTTAGCTGGTATCTCGAGGCAGCCGAGTCGGTTGTTTCTAAGTTAGCTAAGTAACTAAGTTAGCCCCCCCCCCCCTCCATTTACACACTAGGTAACTTGTGATTGGTAGTTGCTTGGAATTGCCAACTTTACCGTTGATATCGCGTGTTGTATATTTCAGCACGTCAGCGCTTTTAACGCTCCCAAAACATGCAGGACTGGCCCTAACAGCACCCCCCCCCTTTCCGAGATTGCTGCAACCTATGTCACAGGCATTCTCTTTCTCGGAATGAAAACGTAAATGGAAGACAACAGAAAGCTTACACCCCCGCAACCTTAAGGAAATTTGACATATTTCTGTTCACATTTCATAACGTCGTATTTTAACAGGATAGTTTACAATGAAGAAAACCACATTTAAGAAAATTGGCCAGCCTAAGAATGGGATATCCTCCGACTAACGCTTGGCAAAGATGGCGGCCGCAAAATATCCTTTCGAGCCACAGTCGCGTGTCAATTGCGCACTAGCGGTCACGAGCATACCGCGGCTGCTGCTCGTAGGTCATAGCAATCTAATTTAGCCCCATTCCACGCCGCGTAAGCGGCGTGGGGGACACGTGGTGGTGGAAAACCGCAGGAGAACCCAAATAAAGTCACGCGACTGTTGCTCGAAAGGATATTTTGCGCCGCCCTTTGCCAACCGTTAGTCGGAGGATGGCCTAAGAATGAAAAGTGACCTAATGCATAAATGGACGGGGCAAACTCTGGGGAGATTTTCGTAATATTCACCAGGAGTGGTGCGAGGAACCAGGTTTTATTATCAAACTAGATAAGGCAACAGTATTTTGGTGTTCTTCAAATTATAGAAATGTTATAGATAACCTGCTAAACATCTCAATAAATTAAAACAACAAAACGAGGGAGAATTCAGTGGAAAAGACGATGGTACAGTATACTCGCGGCTGAAGAGACGAATGAGAAAAGACCCGAGGTCAGCTCTTGGATATTTGCGAACCAGAGGCCAAGGAACACATTTGTGCTGTTTGAAGATGTTGAATACAGCATAAATGACTTGTTAGACAGTTAAATGTGATTGCGAGAACAGGATGTATGTTGACAAAGTGTGTTGATGGAGAATTTATTATGAACTACAAAAACGTTGGCAGAAGTTACAAAGAAAGCAATCATGTGTCATGATGAAGAGTTGTTTCTATTCCTGTAGAGTAGTTTAGTGGAGACAAGTTAAGAAGCAGAACGCCAACCCATAATGTTGAACTCTGGACAAGTTGATGCCACATTAAAGATGGTGTCTATAAATATAGAGCGGACCAATAACAACAAGCCTGGAACGAACATCATTGCACCCAAGATGATGGTAAGAATACCTAGCAAGACCCACTCGCATTATGACTTTCATAATTAGAGCAAGAAATTTCAGGACTATTGTTGCCCCCACAGGTTTTAAATGTGCTTCTTCTCAGATACTAGGCTCTCAGCCTTTCTGCGACTAACCAAACAATGAACAGAGGATCACTCAATTGCCCCCTTCCCCCTTACTGGAAACGACCACGAGAATGTGCAACTAAAGTGGTTAAAAATAGCCATTGGCCAAAGATAACAGGTCTTCCAATAATAGTCCTTTTATTTTCAGATTCTCCCACTACAGCAGGCAAATTTCAAGGGAAAAACAAGGGCAATTGTCTTGTACAAGGCCAAATTCCAGACTTCCAGGTCAGAGTCGCAATTTAAGGTCAATTTCCAGTTTCAAGGTCAGATATGAACCCTAAGTGTAGTGAAAAAAACACACAAATAATCACCAATGGCTTGAAACCAAGATCTACAACTTGTAGGAATTATCACACCCAGGCATTATTTTATTAATAATGAGTGTCTTGTAAATGATGCAGAGACACCTCACTGTAATGTGTACAAGCTCAACAAACATGGAATCACAGCTAGGTTTCTTCTGTCATCAATCAAACAGATGCTGTTCTGCTCAGCTTAGTCTAAAACAATGAACCAGCCATTAAATGAATGAATCAAGAATTGACATCTCTACAAATGGGTCATTCCCATACATGCTGTCACCCCTTTCTCAGCAGCCAACAAAAAGTTCCCATACTAATGGAGCCATTTGTAACCTGATTCTAGGCACCAGAGGAACTGTAGGTCAACCACAATGTTGATTTCCACAATACCTAGTCAAACGAACATGACACAAACTCAACAAATGTTAACAGTTAAACTTTAATTCAAGTAAGAATCATAACAATTAAAAAAATCCCCCCCAAAAAAGGTTACATGAACGCCATCATCTGTTTTAAGACATGTATGTTTAGTAATCATTGTCATTACAAGAAAATGAGTTGCACTTCTTTCTCACCCTAAAACAAAGTATAATGGAGGTAAATTAAGACATCTGACTAAACATTACATCTGTCATGACACTTGACCTTGTGCTAACATGTGGTGGTAATGAAGCATTGGTCAACTAACTTGAGCACATGCCTGTTATACTTTAACGATGCAGATAAAGTTAAGGAAAAGCCCCTTTTCCATGCCTTTAGGCTTACTGGGCAAGGCCTATATTTTTTTTTATATGGTCAACATTTACTTCCCGGGACTTCAAGATAAATTAAAGCCAACTTTAAATTATTACTCTAAGTAACCTCATTGAGAAATGATGATTACACAAACACCATGAGAGATTTTATCAATGAACAGGGACAATAAAGGGTTTGGGTTTAGACAATGGATCAATGTCATGGCACATGGGGTAACCCATAAGTGCTTCGCTCTACTTCTAACTCAAGCCTGATGGAACAGGCCACATTTACCCCACAAATCTGACTTCCAACAATGTCTACCCACAATTAAATTTACTCAAGATGGCAGCACAACTCATGTACTAATGAGAGAATAAGGAACAGATGGCTAGATGTCCTTGATGATGGCTTCCAGTTCGTCTTTAGTAAACATCCTAAACAGATTCTGAGGAGTCACTGTACACATCTGACAGACAAAAATGACAAGAGTCAAGTTACAAGCCAATTTAAAAATATATATATATATATATATTTCATTTTTTGCTGTTTTAAATTTCATTTTAAGTGAGATAAATGCTTTAAGAGGATTTAAAACCACCTTTAGTAAAGATCTGATCATAAAAAATAACCCACTTTCAATTATCCTTTTCAGTAAGGAGAAAAATTTATGAGCTAATTCAGTTGTGTTTTGATATATCTGACAGTTGTGAAATTAAACTTCACACATCTTCTTATGTATTTCCTAAACATCTTTTTTTTTAAATTAAAAGCACACAAATGGACAAGACAATGTTTTAATATACTTCTTCTGCATTTGCCATTAAAAAGTGGTTGACAGGTAGTGTTGTGGTTTACAGTAAGGCTGCGATTCCTTATCTTCAAGTTCAACACATCTATTTTCATAAAACCTCTAATTAGTCACCTTTTTCTGTGACACATTTATTTAGGGAGCAGTGGGTCCATTCTGCTCACCTCCCCAAATGAAGCCCCAAAAGCCACAAGGGGAATCTAAACACAAATGCACTAGACTCAAGACTCATTCTTCCAGTGAATTCTCAACCAACTATGCTGTGGTAAACTAATAAAAAGTGCACTGATCTCATCAACACAGTGAGATTCAATCAACAGTCAAGAAGGCATATATCTCTGACTACACAGAGGAGTTCAACTGGCTTCACAGAGATAGACATAAGACTAGCTGCCAGAGAGATCTTTCTGAAGTAAAGACAATGAGTAGGAAAACAACCACAACTGTCTTCAACTGTCTCTACAGCCTGTATTTACTATATTTAAGAGGGTGGAAGAATGGGAGATCCTGACCCTGAGGATTTAAAGCTGCATGGCTGGTGCAGTCGCCACAAACTGTGCAGATTAGCATTTTCATATCTGTCCTGGACAGACGCAAAACTCTTCACCCTTTACTTGGGTACTGCTCTTGACCTCTTTAACCACTAAGCCAGCCGCTCCACAATACCTTACTATAATATGAACTCGCATTAAACACTACAAGAATATAAAACCTGTATTGTTGTACGCATCTGAAACAATGGCAACACTGTGGCAAACTGATGAAAAAGAGCAAGGGAAAGACAAGATATAAAATCTGGTCACACTGTATGGGTGGAATAGGAACACTGACCTGATCTGTGGTTCTAGAGATTGTGCGATATGGGGAACCATAACATTTTTTTTTACCTTCTTCTTAGACAGTGCTTTTGCCAAGGTCCCGAAGAAGCAGGATTTTCTATGAGGGTGGCCAGTCAGTAGGGCTTGGACCAACCACTACAAAATTATTAGTTGACTCAATATGTGGGTTCCTGGGCCTCATTACTGGTACAAGTTACATGTCGGCTCTTCATTGGTTATTGAAGAAGGGAACGGAGCAGGTGTAGGAATTCCTAAGTGCAGTGATGTCAATTCTTGATGTATTAATGTATTCAAAGGAAGAGAAAAAAAGAATAGATTCACTGCTCCCCAACAAGTATACTGTAAAAGAGGACCAATGAGTTTTGCCTTTAAAGCCAGGCTGCTTCTACCTGAGAGGCAAGGAACCAACAGACTGCTTACAATAAGTCAAATCTGTAGAACTGAGTTTACAGCCAGTGAACGCTAAGAAAAATAAGGATACCTGATAACTTTCAGTATATTCTGAGATAAAAACCCAAATGGAATAATACTGGCTACTCCAGCACAATATAATATTTAAGCTAGAAAAAGTGAAGACCCAAGAGTCTACTCCCCTGCGGCAAATAACTGTACTGACTGTTGTAAATAAATGAAACAATCATAAAATAAAATAAATATTATTAGCTTTCCAGGTTCCTGCAGCTATCCAATGGTAGAGAACAACATGCATATATATGTGATGATTGTAACAGACTCTGAAAGCATGCTGAGAAAGGTGAAAACAGGAATGCTTTCAGCAGAGTGGCAAGCTTCACTGGGAAGGTCACAGGTAGTGAGCATACTCTCCAGGCCATGCTGGTGTGGTGGGGAATGACCAGGCAGAGAGATTTGCTGGATCTGCACCACTGGGTGGTGAACTGATTCATGATAAGGCAGATGGGGTCAGGGCCCTTTGGGAACAACAAGCAAAGGAGTCAGAAGCGAAACATGAATATTATGGCATGGAGAGAATGAGGTATCTGGGTGTAACCAGGAGGTCTGGCCGGCTCACTACACTGAGGGGAAAGGCAAGACGGACATATAACCAGGTTACGACCAGTACCATTAGTATTGGAACTCTACGCTGGCTGCTGAAGATGAGGGCGGAGCACACATGGGAATGCCCCGGGTGCTGTGATGTAAATTCTTGACTCAACTCAACTCAAGGTTTCTGCTGCTAGATCAAAGTAATATGATTTTTAAAAATTTTTTAAATTGTACCTCTACATTCGTGGCGTTCAGTTTCTCCTCCATTACTTGTTTCAGTATTGTCAGAGCAGTTTTGCAAGCTTCCTTCAAAGTCATCGACTGCAAGGATTTTAATAAAAAGTATGTATACAAAAATCTGCGTTTTCATTTCATAGCTTACATGCTAAAAATTTACATCAACAATGAAGGAATAAAAACAGATGCAGGTGTAAAGTCTAACACAGCAACCAACCAGTACTTTAGTGTGATAAATTCTTGTGTGGGTTCCAGAACACACTGTGGGAAAACAAGAACAGACCCAATGCCCACCCAACAACAAAAAAGCATGTTGCAAGAGTCGACTGACTGGGATTTTTCTTTGAAGTCGCAATGCATCTGCCTGAGCAGCAAAGAACAACCAAATGCACACAAATAAGCCAGTAAAACGGATGCATACGCAAAACTCAGGCCCTGGCACAAAGCCAAAGTCCAAATGGACGAACAAACAGGACTTTCTGCCAAAGCTTACAGCCAGAGAACAAAGAAGGAGGAGTAACATGAGAAAGAGTAGGCAAAACAGTCTGCCAGTGTAGGATGATCATTAACACTGACAGTGCTTAACAGAAAGCAGTACACCAATGCATGCTCAGACCTCCAATGCAGTAGCTACCCAAAGGTACCACAACTGGCCGTTCACATACAAAGTTCATTATAATATCTCCCATCTTGACCTCGCAGATGACATAGACATGCTGTGGCAGACTTTACTTGCTGGCAACATAATCAGGTTAAAGTCAGAGACTTGTCTTTATTCACCTTTACAGCGTTGATTCTTTTAACTCTCTCCATTGTTTATATAAGAGCTAACATGTTCACAGAACTGCAATAGGTAGCCAGCATTCCAAAGTCTCATCCTATCTTGCTCATCTGGATCTAAAAACCTGAGCTTACATTTAAAAAGATAATAAACAAATGGACCAACTGAAAAGTAACTTATACAAGGAGCAAATGGTCATCTTTCTAAGTACTGGGTAAAGACAATGAGTGTCACACTGTACCTAGAACACACTGTGCTAAAGCATGGGAAAAGATAAGAAGGTGTATAGGATGATAACAAAGCACAAAATGTGACAAACTCTTGAAAAACAAGCAAATAAATATACATTGCTATAGGTATCCTCCAATTCTCATGCTATGGGGGGAAAAAAACGATAAAAACGTAAAGCTGATTATTCACATTAAAATTATATTCAATTTTGCTGAGACAATGAAATTGTGACATAAGATTTTAGAAAGATGAAAAGGAAAAATAAGACAGGGATAGAAACAGAAAGAGAGAAGAAGAGGCAGAAGAAGAACTTAAGGAATAAGAAACCATTAGAAGTGGGGTGAAAAGAAGGGGGTGTGTTTCAAGTTATCTCATCTTACCTTATGAAATGCCTCTTGCAAAGCTTGCTGTGCTCCTTCAGACCCGGATCCTATAGCTTTACCATCATACTGCAGAAATGTGCCTGACGGATCCATATGAAACCTACCAAGGAACAATACATATGTAATAGTAGTCGCATGTTTAAGCTTACAAATATGCAATTAAAATAAGTCTTTTTCAAATCAAAACCTAAAATATCATGTCTACTTTCACAATTCAACTGCAGGAACTGTACGATAACAAGCCAATCATAACAGACTCTATTCATCTTCTTCTTCAGCATTCTGTCTTGCCAATTTCTCATGCTCCTTCAAGATCTTCTCTCTTGGTCTTTCCCTCCAACATTCCTTTTCCCCTTTCTCATGAGGTTCTGAAAAAAATTAGGCTCATGAAATGCTGAAAGAATGAAGACTGTCTACTTCTACAGTCTTGTCCTGGTAAATCAATTCAACCCCATGTTCTTCCATTTCAAAGTCAATCTTTTACAACCTCACTGTACCTCAAGTTGTCAAATCTGACATTTTTTAATTGTCCAGACTCTGGAGTTTATGAAATTACAGAGCAACCATCACAGTAAGGCACCGCCAAATCAACTGAATAAAATAAGCCTATTTAATTTGCTTTCATATTTGAATTAAAGCATAAAGCTGATTTAATCAGTTCTCTGCATTTGTAACATTTCTAATACTTACAGTCTGGGACCTTTCTCATCAATCCCAGCAAACAGCAAAGCAACACCAAAGGGACGGCTCTGGAAACAGATAAAAATGTATCCTAAAATGTAAGAACTATAAGTAATACAAACATAAACAATGCCCGAATAGTAAAAAAACAAACTGTACAACATTCATGAAATCATGTACCACTCGAAAAAGATATGGCAATCAGTTCAACCATTCCCACAGTCAGAATTATGGATCAGAGTTGTGCCAAGCCATCCAGGTGTTTATCTATGTGCTTTCCCCTTGCTCTATTGCCACCAAGTTGCTGGCTGTCACTAAGATTTCATGTTATTTCTATTTACAACATGCCCAAAACATGTTACTGTACATGTCTAATTTTTCTAATCAGTATATATCAATACTGTTTAACCAAAGACTAAGAATTTCACAAAGTGAGCCACTGTGGTGTGGCGGCTAGAAGCTCACCTCTGTGGATCTGAAGGTCGTTGGTTCAAATCTGCAAGGAGCCGGATTATTTTCATACATGACCTTGGCTCACAGCTCGACCCAGCCTAAAATCAGTACCAAGTAAAGTGCTGTGTAGAAAAGGTGGCTGATGTTGACCATATCACCCCTCGAATACCGATTTGCCTAGTCTCAAATGCTTGATGTGTCACTAGCGTGCAGAGGGACCTTTACTTACGTATCAGAATTTGATAGAGAATGAAATGGAGGAATAGACAGTAAGCCCTGTGTGATACATAATGGACAACAGGATGATGATGATAAGAATGTAGTATCATCAAATCCACATTCCATGATTAACCCAGATTTTGATGTCTCATTACTCACATAAAACTTAACTGAAGCACGGTAGGGGTTTGGTCATAAAATGTTATATTTTCATGAATATATCCTACAAAACACAAACGTGTGTCATTTTAAAACTTCCTCATTCACTCAAAACTCTTAAAGGCTAACTGTCAGTCTCAAAAATAATATTTGTTCTGCCTTTTATCCCCACAATGAAGCTCAAGATTAACCAAAACAATTTACATGAAGCCCTCCTAACTTCTGCCATTCCCCTCAATATTCTTCACATATTATTCAACACTATTATTAACGATTTGCATTTTCTATTTAATGCAATCCATGCAGTGTGGTGGCGGCAGTCATGTCTATCCACAACCTTCTGTCTCATCTATACTTTAAATCAATTCTGTCACAGGTGATCTTCCATTCCATGATTGCAAATCGTCCAGCACCTTCTCTCTCTCTCTCTGTCCTTTTTTCCCTTAAACTTTCCCACTGTCACGACACACTCCAGTTTTCTGCTTCTCATGACATCACCAAAGAATGTAGATTGTCTCCTGATGTCGGCAATCAGTTCTTTGTGTGAATCAATTTCTTTCAAGATATGGTTTATACTCTTGTTATCTGTCCAGGGTTTTTATATAATTTAGTTCAACATATCAGTATAGGATTTATAAGGTTCTTGAGAATTCTCTTTCTCACTTCAACTGACAAAGGAAGAATGCAGATAAAATTCTTCATTCTGTGAAACGCAGCATTTCAAAAAATCCCCTACGAGCTCAACAGGCATTGCTTCCAATTACATGCCCAAAGAAATTCTAAATAAACTCACCATTGCACCAGGGTCTGGATCATCATCACCGAACTGAAGGGCAAGGTTAGAGACAGCCTGGGTAACACTTTCAACATTCATCTTCTCATTGTAAGTAAACCAGTGATTCTGTGAATTAAACCAAACAAAATCTAAACTAACATGCATTAAAGAAGGGCAGTTCAATAACATGATCTCAGAAACATTGACGACACAGAAACCTACAACTATGGAAAAACTATCTTATAAAATGTTCAAAGGTAATAAATGCTGTAGTAGACAAGTGAATAGAATTAATCCTCATTATTTCAAGTTTGGCCATAAAGCAGTGAGCCATCCATTGCTTGGTAGGCAGCAATGGCTACTGTCATTCTGTGTCGATGCAGAAAGTCTTTAATGTCATGAATCCATCTTCTCCATTTAAGGCCTCTTGCTTTCAGATCAGATATTATTATGTGTAGCTGTGCTGGTAGTTACTGTGCTGCATTTAAACGAGATAATCAAACAATGACATGCAAACTACTGTATCTCATTCAATTTGATGCACAGTGTACCCAAAGTCTGTCTGATAGAATATAGCATTACTAGTATCAGTAAATACACTCAACATAAGTTATATTCTTGTATACACACAAATTAGCAAATGCTAATCTAACTAATAAGTAAACAGGAGCCATACACTCTGCTTCCATGTATATAGCCTGCATCTTTTAATTTCTTAAAAGATATTGTAACTACAACTTCTGATTTAACACCAGGGTTCACCTACCTGAGCCTCAACACGAGCCCTGTCTATCAATGTTTTGGAGTCAGCAATGAGACCACTCATAGCACAGGCTGGAAAGGATAATCAGATTTAGTAACATTGTACAAATGTAAGAGGAGCTGTGGTATGGTTTTGTAAAAGATACCTTTAACTGCATACTCATAATTTCATTAATATTCCAGTTCCCTCTTATAAAAGGAGAATCTCAGTATGGTGCACCAACAAGAGTCTGGATGTGTGTATACTAGAATTCTTTGTGGTTGGTGGGGAGGGGATCCATCTTTCCTGGTGTTAGTGCTGCAATGTGCTTTAGAAAAATCACAGCACATGATGTTTCTGACTAGCCAAACCCGACTTGCAATTTTGAGGTGCATTGGTTTTAAAAGTCTGAAATGTCCCAGCTCCAAGCACACAGCTGTGGTGGACCAATATCTGATTGACCGGGGGTGTGGAGGGTTGTCCAGCTTAAGGTGTGCAGTAGCTGATCGATGATAAATAATGTCTCCCACTATCAGAGACAGACTGTGGTGCCCATATCTAAGCCAAATGACAAGAACTTAAAAACAAACAAACAAAATTATTTTTTAAAATTATACATGACGACCAACTTGTACAACACATTGAAGAGAACATACAGCTGATCTTACATCTCCCCCAACACTTGACAATGTAACTAGAGGCATCAAAGAAGTAGTATGGGTCAGTTTTCCCACTTTCAAAGTGATATTTAACTTCGGCAGCAGCTTATTCCCCCTGCTCGTGTGCATTTTCAAATTGCCAAGGCGTTTTTAATGTATATATACAGCACTTTTAATCCTTGTCTTAGGAGATTAGGCAGCTGATCCAGGATCAAGAAAAAAAAAACAGTGTCAAAATACTTTGAACCAAATCTGCTTAGGATAGATATCATAACCCCTAAGCTACTCCATCTTTAAGTAATAATAGCAGTGGTAGGTGCAGCCTGGAATTAGTCAAACAATAAACATTGGCTACCATCATAGACATAGTACACAAAATTAGTTTTGAGGCCCCATGGGGGGGGGGGGGGGGGGCGCTTCTTGTTCCCCCCCCCCCTCCTCCGCCAAAAAAGCATGTTGCAAAATTCAACTAATTAGGTGTCTTTCCTTTGAAGTCAGAGTAAACCTGCCTGAGAGGTGGGGAAACCAACAGCCTGCATACAAATAGGGCAGATCTGTAAAATGAATGTGCAGACAAAACTTGAGTTCTAGAACAAGAAAAAAGTCCATAGTGGACAAACAACCAGAATGTTCTGCATTAGTTTACAGCGGGGGAAATGCCACATAGGCTAGATCATAACCTGGTTACATCAGTCTTTCCCATTAGGTGGTCAGTGGACCTGATGGGGCCCACGGAAAAAATTTATAGTTTGTGATATATCATTTATTACACAAAAATCATCAACTTCAGAATACAATCCTTTGTAACAAGTTCTTCAGCATGACTATTAAAAGGATTAGTGAACAGTGGTAGACCTGTGAAAATAAGTGTGGTCTGCAGGTCTTAGCTAACTGAGAACCACTTGGTTAGGTCATGCTTCTCCAGGGGTGTCAACGTTCCCTCTTGCACATACTACTTATTTTGGGGCTAGGAAAGGAGGAAATCAGCAATACTGCCCACATGGAGATATATTTTGATAACAAATCGGTAGAAGAGCCTCTATGCATGCTTGCATTGTCTTTTCCGCTTCCTCGTTTATGGCTTTGGGTGTTGAAGGAGATACATGGTTCTGCTTCCTGCTTTTCTGGCCATAGTCACATCATACTAGTGTTTCTATGATGTTATCTTTCCACATTGTTCTTGGTCTACCTCATAAGTTAAGCATCTTTACTAATCTACGTTCTAACTCATCAGAGTTAAAACAGTCTTTCAGAGGGTTTAAATTAAACCAACCTTATGCTGGTAATTAAGAGCATGCAAAGAGAGACAATATATTCTCTGCCCCTCTTACCTATATGCTTGTCCACTTCCATTATTTTTTCAATACTTCCTGCTTCAATGAGAGGGGAAGTCACACGCTTTTCAACAGCCAATACCACACCTTCACTAGTCTGTATTCCAATGGCTGTTGAACCAAGCTGTTGAAATATGCATCAAATAATAGATTTAGAACAAGATAGTCCTACTGCACATCATACAATTCAGACCACAAATGAGTGGCGACTAAAAATACCTGTTCTGTGGCTGTTTATTATTATTATCTGGGACCCTGCCTAGCTCACTTGTTTGGCTTCACGCCTTTTGATTACAGCTCTTGCAGTCTGACCAAAGTTGCAGATTCACCATCATCACTTGATTCATGTAATTATCATACTACATTCACTGAGGATGGTAAATTAGACAAGGAAATTGACATTCGATGCAGTAAAGCTGGAAAAGTATTGGGGCAACTAGCCCCCTCACAGCATGGGGCAATTCCAACCAGCACAAAGAAACATCTCATACAAAGCATTTTCATTCTCACCTTATGCTACCAGTGCCAGACGTGGTTACTTACAACAAAACATAAAAGAAAATTAGTAACCATGGAAATAAGGTGTCTGAGAAAGGCTGTAGGAGTGACCAGAAGGGATAAAATCAGGAATTAGGTCATACAAAGTTGGCACAGAACCAGAAAAAAAACCACAAGACGAAGAGGCAGACCAAGGATAATGATGAAAAACAAGTACGTATAGATGTCTCACTGAAGACATATATGGAATAAAATAGTGACACAAGTCAGACCTGTAATCAAGTGGCCAGGAAACTATCACCAGCTGAGGTACATGATGATCTTTTTACCACATACACAATGACCATGAAGCTATGCCCCAATTGATTCCGGGCCTCCACTAAGGGGTGCAAAAGAAAACCAAAAAAAAAGAATATATCTAGTGCACCCTAACAAGCTTGTCATGAAAGTCGACTAATTATGTGTACTTTCTTTGAAATCGGAGTGCATCTGTCTAAGTCGCGAGCAACAACAATCTGCACACAAATAGCTAGATATGTTGAAAACTTGAGTTCTGGAACAAGATTAAAGTCCAGAAGTGGATGAATAACCAGGATTTTCTGCCAAGTTTACAGCCAGTGAACGCAAAGAAAGACAAAGATTTTGAAGCTCTGGTCAACTCCCTACCTCAAGGAGCATTCAAAGACGCAATCACTGTGAGTCTGGTAGGTCCTAGGATACTGGGGCTTACTCAATAATTTATGCTTAAAAAAAATAAAAAATTTTACACTAAAGTTACCTTGATGGCTTCAATAGCATATTCCACTTGAAAGAGGCGACCCTCCGGTGAAAAGGTATTCACACCTCTATCATATTCTGACCTTGTCAGGAACATTTTACTGGTTCCTTATTTCTGTCAAGTGTCACTGTTTTAACTGTAACCAATCACAACATTATTTAGAATATATATATATAAAAGTATTTGAATAACAGGAGTGCTTTTTAACATTTTCACTTGCACAGCAAGGGGTTCTGGGGAATACTCAACATTCAGAGGAAAGGCATGACGGACATATATAATCAGACTGCTACTGACACCACTGGTAGTGGAAGTATCCTGGTTGCTGAACATAAGCTGAGAGTGGTAATGGAAATGCTTAGAGTGCTGTGTTGTTAGTTCTTGAATCAAATCAACTTAATAAGGTCTGATTATTTAATGTCAAGGCACGGTGTGACAAACAGGGTCCGTTGATTCACCCTAAAAATAATTTTGCTAGTATGGTTGGTTTTTTTTTTAACCTAATGTTAAATTATTTGATTCTAATTGTATTATTTAACAGAAGACACCTTGCAAATTAATCTGGTAATACTATACAAAATACATTTTTCATAAACCTTTATTCTGGTCTTGTTGGCATGAACAGTACATCCCAATATACTGCCAACATAAATCTTCAGTCTTGGGATGCATTTTTTAAAGTGCTGAAAAGTTTGTTTTTTCCATGTTCCATTTAATTGCCCAAACATTATTAAACTCGGCTTAGAAGTGACTTACAAACTTGAATGAGGCACTGCTGGTCTGCATTTTTCAAGTTACTGTGCTGTTTTCCTCCATTCCTCATCATCATGTAGCAGGTCCTTTGCAAAACGTCGCTCTCATTACGGTCTGCCTGAAAGAAACTCAGGTCTCTCCAGCCTCGAGTACTTTCATATTCAAGGAGTCACTTACTTATATCTTGTGCTTATCTTTGCGTTGGTCAGCCCCTGTGACCCCCTTCCTGGTACCACGCCTTCTGTTTTTATTTTTTTTTCCAATCCGCCAGGGCGCTTGAGATAAGATATGACAAAAAATATTTAAGCTTTTGAGTCAAGATACCAAGCCGATTGTCATTGTCTTGATGTTCAGAGCTTTTAAAATGTCACTATTTCTTCTCTTGTTTGTCGGCATGATATTCTGAGAATATTTCTATAGCATTTCAGCTCAAAACTGAAGCCCAATTTTGGGCTCTCCTTTAAACTATGGCCGGTTAGTCTGAGTTTAGTCCCTTGGCTGCAGTGCAATTACGGAGTGGAAAGAGGGAACGAAACAAATGACATAATTACTGTGTGTTGGTGATAGACAGCGTGCAGTGCTATGCTGTCATCATACGGCTAGGGTGTGGGTTAGGGTTACGGTTAGGTTTAGGGTTAGGGGTATGGTTTGGGCTTGGGTTAGGGTAACACATGTAACGTCGAGTACTACGCAAAGAGTATCTGTCACAGCAGTCCTGCCGAGGCGCTAACGACATAGGATGGTTGCAGGAGGCACATACCTGCATGTTCCTTATAACTCTATGCTCAGCTAGCACCGCAACCATGCAAGCTTATCGCTCATTAAGGCATACAGATCCACAGGTGACACATCTACGGCCACTAAGTCTTGCGTCGCAAGAACGCGGTCGCTAATGTGAGTCGCAGCGCGTGATCTAGCTCTAGCAGCCATGTTGACGGCACTTTGTTTTGTGATTCGTGCCTTCTCCACTCCGTAATTGCACTGTAGCCAGGGGACTGAACTCCGACTAACCGACCGTAGTTTAAAGGAGAACCCAATTTTTTTCCCATTACTACTGGGGACAACAGTGGAACGTAAACTCTATGGACCACTGAATGAATTAACAACAGTGAAATTTATACAATAGACAAAACTGCTGATATAGACAACGTATTTCAGGCGAACGAAAGAAGAAGACTACTGGGGAAAAATGTCTGAGCATAAATCATAATAATAATTCAATATTCACTAACTTAAGAAAAGTACCTACAGTATATATGAGGCGTGACTCATGAGCTACTTGTAAAATGAATGTTGTAGTAGTAGTAGTAGTGAGTGGTAATAATACAATGCCCATCTAGTTGCAATTGTATTTGGTAGGGGTGCTACTGACTATTACCCAACTAACTAAGAAACCCAATGCCAATGACAACAACGACCGGAGCAGCAATAATTGAAAAAAATGATTCCACAAACTCCAAGACCAAATCACAAACCAAATCATTTGGCAAATGACTTCACTGGCTGGAAAAAATGCGAACACATTTGTGAAATTTTTAAAACTCCAATAAGTTAGTATATCAGATTTTAAAAACAATGCCTTTACTGTAAATATGTATTTTTCTGGCTGTATCTTACACAACAAAGCTGTCTGTGGTAATCGGCTTTCACGAAGTAAAAATGCTTCTCTCCTAGTGACTGTGCATGAACGGAAAGTTTACAAATGGCGTCGTTAAAAGTACAATTGCCAGACCTAGCGAAATGTAATATTCTAGGTTAGATTGTTTGACAAATAATGTAAAAAAAAAAATTAAACCTAGATCCAAAAATATTAACCTAAAATTTACATTAATTGTTAAACTTAGTGTTTATTTTTTTTTTTATTTGTAACTACAATTACGTTTGTTTTGTGGGTAAAATATTTGCAGATTTTTAAAAAATCTAGAATAGCTCTTAATGTTCAACTGGCTCAACGGCTGTAAACGACGGCGGAAAGTTGTGGTTGTTATTCCATTTATGCACTAAAGTCTTTTTCAAGAATATGGCTGTTGTGTCGCATCCATTTTACAAGGCTAGCTTATTTGTTTGCAGACTGTTAGTTCATAGCCTCTCAGGCAGATGCACTTCGAAGGAAACTATCACTTAGTCGAAATGCTTGTAAGGGAGGCAATGTCCCCCACCCCTTCCCCCAACAATGGGCCTCCAGAATCAACGCAGGGAAGAGCATTTCTCAAACTTGGCCTGCTATATTCATTAGGTTCGTGTCTATAGATAAAAGCCACGGCCAGCTCCAGATTTATATATATATATATATATATATTGAGAAATGCTCTTCCCTGCGTTGATTCTAGAGGCCCATTGGGGGAAGGGGTGGGGGACATATATATATATATATATATATATATATACAGCCGGACGTGATAAAAGCGTATGTGGAGAAATCGAGCTGAAGAAAAAACACGCGGGGGGGGGGGTGTTTTAAAGAATAAGCATTATCAGTTTCATTAAAGCACTGATCTTGCAGTCACGATCGTCAAAGACAGATTCAGTAAAAGATATTGTTTTGTCTTCTCCCTATCAATGTAAAGAAGTTATTGCTTTATGCATTTCGCATGATGTCAAAAATATTATTATTATTGCGCAATTCAAATAGGCTTAAGCTTCTTTGGCACCCTCACCTAGAAACATTTAAAAGGCCTGATTACCCTCCCCTCCCCTCCCCCTTTCCCCACACACACACACTCTCCGTCTTAGTCTTCTTAGTATCTTAGTCTTCTTAAAAAATATCGGTGGGTGGCCGCATGAACCACCCCCTCCCCTACCCCCTGTGGAGGAGATAAAGCCCCTACGTAAACAACATCCTAAATTTGCCGCATCTTTCTAGACACCCAACAAATTGTATTCCCTGACGATGTACACGCCCTAACGTCAAGCAGTGGAACTGTTGTTTTAAAGTGGGATAACGTGGATAGGACATGATAATTACCAATGGCTCTGACAACAGAGACGCAATCTGGCCTGTTCCAACCACAATGAAGACAAAACTGTATGGTACACGAGAGGATATGGATTGCACGATAGCTTTCATAAAGGCTACCGGCCTCCTGATATAAGTTTTCTGACAGAAAGATCGAAGAAGAAGAAGAAGAAGGAGAAGAAGCTGTTTATTCTTTCTGCTGAGTTTTGATCTAAGAACTGACATAACGGCACTCCTGACATTGCCACAAGCGCTCCATTATTCTATGTGAAGTTACGGTTCAGTGTCAAGTTTATTTATAGTGTCAAGAGGCAAAAGAAGTGCTTGGGGATTTTTAGCAAAAGTTAATGGTCGACGTTTGGTGCAGGAGAGCCTAGCATATGATATCACAACATCCAGGCTAAGAATGGAGGTGGAGGCGGTCACTGCAGCTTTCCGCTGGCTAGAGAACACCACACACACACACACACACACACACACACACACACACACACACACACACACACACACATCGTGATTGTAACTGATTCAGAGAGCACGCTGAGGAAAATCAAAACAGGTATGCTTCGTGCAGAGTGGCATGCTTCGCTGCAGAGGACACGAGTGAGGAGTATTGTCTGGATTTGTTCACCGGGTCACGCTGGTGTGCTGGGAAATGAACAGGCGGACAGACTGGCTGGCTCTGCACAACTTGGTGGAATACTGATACATGATAGGGCAGACATGGTTAGTGCCTTGTGGGAGAGCGTGTACAATTCGGAGGAGCAGATGAATCACCACAGTCTGGTGAGATTGATGCAGTTGGGGGTGACGAGAGGTTCTAGCAGAAGCTCGAGGCTCAGAGGAAAGGCAAGACGGACGTTTAATCAGAAAGCTACTGTCACCATTAGTATCGGAACTCTTCGCTGGCTGCTGAAGGTGGGGACGGAGCGTTTATGGGAATGCCCCGAGTGCTGTGATGTCGGTTCTGGAATCAAATTAAATCAAATCTATGTGAAGTTGTGTGACGTCGGTAGCTTGATGATTAAAACAAGCGAGCTTCAATGAAAAGTGCGAATGCTCATTGTGTGTGTGTGTGTGTGTGTGTGAATATGTGTTTGTGTGTACGGGTGCGTGTGCGTGTGTGTTGGGGGGGGGGTGAGGGGGGCCTCAAAGGACCTGAGCTTTCACGTTTCAGCGCAAATGACGTTATGTATATTTTAGTTTTTTCCTCCTTATTGCGTGCTCAGAAAATGTGGATTCTATACTTCTGGTGCGGATAATCAGGTCTCCTGATTTTGCCTTTCATCAAGACATCTTTCGTTACAATCTTTATCTGTCCAATTTGGTGGGGGGGGGGGGGGGGGGGGGGGGGTTCCAGTTTTTTTTTTTTTTTTTTCAAAACTAT